TAGGTCTTGCAGGGTATTTCCAACATTTTCTTCCAAGAGTTTGAAGGTTTCTGGATGTAGGTTTAGGTCTTTTATCCATGTAGATTGGAGCTTAGTGTATGGTAACAGGTGTGGGTCTATCTTTTTGTGTCTGCAGGCTATCAGCCAGTTTTGGGTTTTTCTTTCTCTTCACAAGGATCCCTCGATCTTCCCAAAGGAGACTATATTACATCCCATTTCTCAGTGTAAGCCTAAAGATTAAACACTAAAATAACTTTGTTATTTCAACCTGGAAAGATGTCACACAGTACTAAATTGGCTATCTATGATTTTTTTAAAAGTCTTTTTGTTTATTTTTATTGGAAAGGCAGATACACAGAGAGAAGGAGATATATAGAGACAGATCTGCCAAGCACTGATTCACTCCCCAAATGGCCACAATGGCCAGGACTAGGTCAGGCTGGAGCCAGGAGCCAGGAGCTTTATTGCCATCTCCCACATGAGTGCAGGGTTCCAAGGGATTGGGCCATCTTCTTCTACTTTCCTGGGTCATAAGCATGGAGCTGGATGGAAGTGGAGCAGTCAAGACATGAATCAACACCTATATTGAATACTTGCATGACAGTCAGAAGATTAGTCTGATGTGCCACCATGCCAGAAAGAGATCATTTATCTACTGGTTCACTACCCAAACGCCCACAAGAGCCAGGGGTGGGCAATCCAAAAGGCAGGAATCAGAAATTTCGTTTAGTCTCCCACATGGGTGGCAGTGACCAAACACTTGAGTAGTTGTCTGTTGCTTGCAAGGTGCCTTTGCAGAAAATTGAATTGGAAGTAGAGTAGGTGTAATTCTGGCATTCTAATACAGAATATGAGAATTGTACCGTGCTACAACACCTTTATCCTAATTATTACTTAATAATCTGCATACGATCCCTTGTCTCTTTCTAATCCAAGGGCCATGCATTGTCAGTCTTTGAATTCAAAGGAAAGACACAGCCCATTAAAAATCATAGTACTCAAAAAAAGTTCATAGAAAAATGAAATTGGAAGATAAGTATATTTGGATCAAAAATTTTTAAATCCATGTATAAGGAGGCTTCAGAAAGTTCCTAGAAAATGTGTATTATGAAAAAATGACAATAGATTAGTAATTTTTTCACCCAAATGAACTCATTTATAAAATCCATTTTCATATTAGCAGGGAGTTGGATCCAAGTGAAGCGGCCAGAACATGAACCAGGATGATGACATTACGGGCAGCAACTTTACTCACTGAGCCATGACGTTGGCCTTTTCCACAAACTTCTTGCAGTATCGTTGAATATAAGTGAATATCCATTATTCTCTGATATGCAGTTATTCTGTCCACCTGATTTGTGTGTTGTTTCCTCCATTCTCTGGTTGGTAACTCCAGGGGTTTTCCCAAGTTAGAAGACCCCCTATTCTTGGGCTTTTGGCATTTAGAATAGTGGGGGTTATTTTATGCTTGGTTGCTTTGGTAGTCTTGAAGTCTATTGAACAAATATGCAGATTTTTTTTTCTAGTAGCAGCGTTGGATATTTCCTGTTCTTTAAAGTTAGGCTTGGCCATGTGACTTTGTTGGCCAATGACATATGAGTTGAAGTAAAGCACATTGTTTCTGGGTGGGAGATTTTCAATTGCTACAGAAAGATACTGCAGCACCAGTAAGTAGATGTTATAATCTCCTCTGTGGCAATCCTTTAAAATTACTTCTTTCTTTCTTTTTTTTTTTTTTTTTGAGATGCAGACAGAAAAAGACACTGGGGCAAGGCAGGCTAGAGCTAGGACCTGGGAACTGAACCTGGTCTCTGCCTGGACCCAACCATTTGAACAAATCATCTGCTGCCTTTTAGGGTGCATATTAGTAGGAAGCTTTAATGAGAAGCAGAGCCAGGACTCAACACCAGGCATTCCAATAGGGGTGCTGGCATTCCAAACCATGTCTTAACTTGCTGCATAGCAATCTTGAGAGGATGTGTCTCCAGTAATTTGGGGGCCTCTGTGACTGCAATGAACAGAGTTCATGCTATGGAGTTATTCTGACTGCCCAGATCCACCTTGTAGGTCAAACATAGTCTCTCCTAATTGAGGTAACACTGGTGGTTGCCAGCTCCCTGATGTGTTCCTCTCCAGGGGTCACTCCTGGTGAGAAAGAATCATCTTGCTCAAGCTCACCTTCTCTTCCCTGCTTGCAGCCCACATGTAGTCACTGTTGATATGAGTTTAAAACATCCGGAGCTCCTAATTATAGGACGGTACTGAAGATCCATCTCAGTTCCAGAACTCCCTGCAGGACTGGCTGAAACCTCACTTGCATCTCCTGCATTCCCTCAGCCCTGGGTTCTTCAGGCAGTTCCCACAGACATGGATTTTGAAGAGTTTACCAATACCCTCCTGCACATAGATCTCCAGCGTTTCAGAGTCTGTTTCCTGGTGGACCCCAAGGGGGACAGACCCCTTGATAACCACCAACATGTAACCAACATTGTAACATGTAGGAAAGCAATTTTTTTTTTTTTTTTTTTGGCAATAGGCTGCTACTTGGGGGATGTTATTAGTAACCTAACCCATTCTGACCAGTTAGTTGCAGACCTCACCTGCTCTGCAAATTCTTTGTTTTCATGTGAGCAGAACTTGTATTGTCTTTCTTGTGTAGTCTATAAATAGTAGCCAGTTCCAACTCTTCTTTGATATTCTTTCTCACTGTGAGTGGACAATCATGAGCCAGCTGAGACATTACAAGGACAACAGAAAAAGAAAAGGGCTGACTGCCTAGTTGCTGTCACTGTCATGTGTCTTTTCTCATGTGTTTTCCAAGACCTTTTCCTTCTTTTTGATATCTTTATCACACATTCATGACATATATGAGAGTATTTAGTGTTAGGAAATTTTTATGATAATAATTAAGTACTCAATTCCTAATTTGGTAAACAGTAGACGATCAAACAATACATTTCTGTATTGGTAACCTATACAGCCCTTTTGTTGGAGTGCTAGCTCTCCTTTAAAGCCAAATGATAAAAACAATTTATTTGTTACTTCAGATCTTACAGGCAAAACAAAATATAGTAAAAAAAAAAAAAAAGCTAATGAATCAAAGCATACTCTTATTTTTTTAAAAAAGGATTTTACTATATGGAACATTTTTTTTTCTGCCTGAGGGTAAGCGGCATAAAAATATTTCAACTCAAGAGTCCTAGAATCCTGGGTTGGTATTATGACAACCCCTAATTATGGAAAATATTTAGCAGGATAACAAAAACCAGTCTTAGGAATGTGGAGATTTATGTACAGCAAGCTCGGATAAAGAGATAAAAGGGGGCTTGACCAAGCAAGCAAAGAATATGGCTTTTGGAGTGGGTTTATGAATGTATCTTTAGAATGGCCCCTCACCACAAAGAAAGACCAGCTAAAGTAGTCTTCAGAATAACCTCCTGGGAGATCTTCACCTCCGAAGATCGCCCTCCCACGCAAATTTTCCACCTCGCAGTAGAGAATTAAACCCAGACTTCCGATCATGGCGCCACAGACCTCACCTTCTTCCCTCTCCCCCAGCAAAATCCCACCCAAGTTGGCGGATCCCGCAGGGCTCCCCTCCCCTATCCTGGTTGCTTGGAGACAGACCAGACTTGCAAATGGCAAAAAAAAAAAAAAAAAAAAAGAAAGAAAAAAAAAAAGAAAAAAAGAAAAAAACCCCACGCGTACGCAGGAGATCCTAGAAAGCGGCAATAGCGACCGAACCTGCTCTGTGTTGGGGATGCGAAGAAGACCCTAGGTCACTCTCTCCCTCAATTTCCCTTTCCCAGGTCCTAAGAGGCCCCTCATGCCCCGGCCTTTGTGGGTAAAGGCTCTTCTTGGAGAAGTGGAAACCACGTCGCACACACGCACACACACAGACGTGCACACACGCAGGGCAGGCTCTATCCTTCTCAGGGAGTGTTCTTCCTGGCCTCGCTTCCTTGAGAAAATCAACTACCCCCAGTCGGCTGAGAGGGGCTCTGAGTCTGGATGCTTAAGGTTGCAGGACGCCCTGCAGTGCACGCCTAAGGGTGGCTATCCCAATTCCGGCTTTTGTTAGTGAGGGGAGCTCAGAGGAGGCCAAGGTCTCAGGTTCTGGGAACGACGGGTCCAACCGGATGCTTTGGCCAACGGAGAGGGAGGGTCCGGCCCCAGAAAGCAGGGGTGTGTGTTGTGTGTGTGTGTGTGTGTGTGTGTGTGTGTGTGTGTGGTGGGGGGCGGATATCTCTGCCAGGCTTCCCCTCCAAGAGTCTCCGCGAGACACCTCAGCTGGGCTAAAATCACGGGGATCGGAGAGTCTGGCTGAATGCTCGGACAAAAGAGGAGGTCGCCTTCTCTTACACATACACCCCGAGCCATGTATTCACGCAGGGACGGGATGCGCGTACGTGTGCGTGAGGGTAAAAGGCCGCGGCTGTCCGGCGGCTCGCCAGCCCCACCCTGCCCTGGGCGGCTGCAGGGAGGACAGCCACGCCGCGCCAGGGCCTCCCAGCGCTCCGCCAGCCCCGGGCGAGGGGCGGGGCAGGGCGGGGCGGCGAGCGCGCACGCGCAGTGTGGGCCCCGTCGCGCCGCCGCCCGCGCTGCACCACAGGCCGGAGACAGACAGGCCGGGAAGAGCCGGAGACTGAGGCGGCGGCGGCGGCGGCGGCGGAGGCGGGGCGACTCCGGTGACCGGGAGTGCCGCAGACGGGCAGCTGCGGCGACTCCCCCCTTTGTGTCTGGTCCGCTTGGAGCCACCGGGAGTGCTTCCCGGAGGGGTGCCGCGGGTGTCTAGCCGCCTCGCTCGCTCACCCCTCCACCCCGGCCACCGACATCCACCCTCCCGCCGCCCCCCGCCCTCGGCCCGCGACGCCCGAGCTCCGCCCGGAGCCCAGAGCTGCGGGGAAAGCGAGGCGGCGGTGGCGGCGGCGGCGGCGGCGTCGTCGTCCCCGGGAAGGGGCGGGGGGGTCGTGATTCGCTCGCCGGAGCCATTGACGGGAGAAGACGAGGCTTTCATGCTGGAACTGACCTCAGGCAAGCTCGAGCTTCTGGAATAAAAGCGAACGGGAGAGGCGCGCACGCAGGAGGGCTGCAGAGGGGCCGCCTCCCGCACCTCCCCTCCGCGAGCCGTCTCGGGGCGCCCCGGCCCTCCCTGCCCCGTCTGCCCACTCGTCTCGTCCCCTCCCCCGCTCCCCGGCGCCCCTCGGCCCGGGCCTGCCCGACCCTCCCACGACTGCTGGGTCCAAGGCGTGAAGGCTGTGTGGGAGCTGGTTCGTGGAAGCAGGCACCCTTTCCCATCCAGTGGACGGAGAGGATTTGCTCGCGGAATCCGAGTGAGGGAAGCACCGAAGCGAAACTTTCAAAAGGGACTCCTGCCCTCCGGGAGCCGCGGGCGATGCGACTCGGGCCGCCGGCCGCCGCCTCCGCCCGCCGAGCGTCGCCCTTCCCGGCTGTCCAGAACTTGTTCTGATCGGCGGCGCTCCCCTTCCTCCCCCCGCCGCCTTCGGATCCCCGCGCCCCACCTCTCTGCACCTTGGATATGTTTGCTCCCAAACCTGGATATTTTTTTGATATCGTGAAACTACGAGGGAAGTAACTGCGGGGCTTTCTTGTCGGCTGCCTGCTTCTCTCTGTCCTCCCCACCCCCACCCCCCACGGACATGCCTTCGGTTTGGGGAGCGCACGCACCGGGTCCTAGGCGATCGAGCACCCCCCAGGCTTCGGGGAGCCGAGGGAAGCGAATCGCTGCCGCGGAATGAAAGCTCTGCCCGTCCGTCCTCTCCTCTGCCATTCGTCCTTTGAGACTGCATTGTGATCGGGGGCGGGTGCCGGAGCCGTCCGACGACGGGGGAGACCAGCCGAGCCCCCCACGCCCGTCTTGCCTACTCGCCGACCGCCTGCCTGCCTGCGCTCGGCCGAGCCCGGGATGCCTCCCTCGCGGCCGCGGCCCCTGCGGGTGCCCTGGCTGCTGGGGGCCGTCCTGCTGGTCAGCACCGCGGCCGGTGAGTAGTGGCGGTGGCGCGGCCACTTCCCCTGCCGCCTGGCGAGGGACGGAGCGCGCGGAGGCCGAGGCCTGCGCTGCTCGCCCTCCGTCCCCGCGCGCGTGGGGGCTGGAGCGGCGTGGGTGGGGGGCACCCCGGAGGACCCCCGCGCGCCTTTCCCACTCCTGCCGGGGAAATCACCTTGGGGTTGTGTGTGTGTGTGTGTGTGTGTGTGTGTGTGTGTGTAATTTGCAACCCACTCCCATATTCCCCCCAAGCCGGCCGTGGGGAGAGAAAAAGGGACATATTGGGTGTGGTATCTTGACATTTTTAGCTGTGAGGTAATGCCAGAATTAAAAATAATGTTTTAATCAGCAGTGAACGGCGTCTATTATGAGATCTTTGGAGCAGAGCTTGTATTTTTTTTTTTTTTAATATAAAGAAACAGTTTTGGTTTACAGCGAAAGGAAATCAACTGTCTCTCGAATCTTATTTTTAGATTTAGATCGCTCTTGGGTAATCCATGTTACTCTCATTATTCAGAAACGTGACTCAATGCCTAGAATAAATGTTGAGGACGCCAGAATAATAGAGATTCTTGATATATTGTATAACACTGTTTATTATGATCACCAGGATTATTTTGTTGCCAAGTATTTTAGCGGTCACACAGCCGTCTGGACGCTCACATGTGCTATGCTTCGGGAGTTACTCTTGGGCATACAAGTGTTGTGATAACTTCACTATTAGTCACCTGGCATCGGTTGGCTTTCCTGTCATTGCGAAAACTTTGACCTGACACGGGGCTTCTAGGAGACTTGAGAGTGCCTTGCACTGTGGCTCATCCTGAAGGGAAATGGTACCGTGCTTTCCTCTAGATGTTTTCTTGTTAGTTCCCAGACACCTGAGGACAGAAAACCCTCATGATCCGTTTGCAGTTACTTTCTGAGGAGCCTTTGGTGATTGATTTTTAGGAATTTTCAGGAGCGAACTCTCCTTACACTTCTTAAATGTGCTCTAGGGTGGCCAAATGGAGTATGCACTTCAACATAAGAGAAGGGCCAGATGATGGCTTCTCCATGACTTTTGTTTTCTTCTTGTGAATAATTTTCACGTTCAGTAAGTTTCTCATTGCTGTGATAACACAGAATGTACTTAATTCCATTTATAAGTCTGCACTGGGAAAATACTAAAAAAAACAACTGAAGTTTTCCTTTTGTTCTTTTGATATTATTAATATCTTATTAAGTAATACCTACTGTTTATGATAAATCTATATAGTTGCTCTAAAATGATTTGAACTTTTGAATGAAATGTATTTTGAAAGTGACATTTTAGTATATATTCTTAAATCATTACAATTCCTTTAGGAACAAAAACGAATGTGTTTATTCCCCTAAGTTTGTATTACATTAGCTCTTCAAAATTTTCTAGCCTTATGCCATGTTGCTGTATTGTGAAATACAACCAGTGAAAAAGGCCTTAAGCTTAGCAGCCCTTTCTTAGCAGAAATCTCAGAATGTTTTTGTTCTTTGTTTTTGACCTTTTTAGAGCATATATTTCCATTTATAGTGAAATGCTTATCATTTTGAGGTCAGAACTACAAAGAAGACAAAAGAACTAATGATTTTTGAATAAATTATTTCTATTTGACAGATATCCTTAGAATAATGTCCCTTGAAAGGAATAGATGAAAAGAATCATTGCTTAAAAGTGGTTTCCTTGTTTGTTTAGTGTTACATAGCATCTGAAATCTAAATTTCAGGATTGTAACTACAATACTAATTGATAATTTTATTGAATGCAAGTTATGTACCAACAACAAAATATTTGAATAACTTTCGATATATTTTCTCTCTTGATCATTGTGATGGTTCTGTGCTGAGGGTTCTTGTTTTACAAGAGGGAGGTTAAAGTACAGAGAACTTAAATAATCACACGCCGAATTTTGGAGCTAGGATTATAGTCTGCACCCTTGCCTAGTGTATTAATGATAACAACAGCACAGAGACAGCAACAGACAACTTTTCACTGTAATTGGGAACTTGAGATGGAAATGCCTTCGCCAGACCAGCCTTTAAAAACAAGCATGGGTACTTAGTGGATATTGGTACAGCACTTGTTATGCAAATATCATAATTTGGAATGCGTAAAAAACTTTGTTTAATGTGGGAGTGGCTAATGCAGTCTCATTTGGTGATAGGTGACTAGAAAGGACCTGTGTAGATGTACAGTACTTTTTGATGGAGTGATGTAACCAGACAGGTGCAAATTGAGCGACCGAACAAGAAAAAAACAGTACTGGAAGACTGAATGATGCTAAATCCCACTGTGGAGTCATGGATAAATCATGTCTTTTGATTCTTTTCCATTAACTCTGGATTCCTTCATTCTAAAAAGAGTTGATAGGCAGATTCTTAAAACTCATGAGAAAAGAGACGTGCTGGTTTGGCTGATAGGTGAGTTCTTAATTTTTGTAATAGAGTAAGCACAAATATTTAAACATTAACATTTATAATGCATTTGAAATAATCTACTTGTTGGAGTTTCAGTTTTACAGGTATCTCTTTCAAAACAACATTGTCCATGAAGGGAGATTCATTTGTTTAGTTAGTGCTCTTGAGCAGTTAGGGAACATTGTTGAATAACTACAAATTTAGTCATTTTCACCTTTTTTTTTTTTAAAGATTTATTTAGAGAGAAGATCATTCATCTGCTTGCTCACTTCCCACATGGCCACAACGGCCGGAACTGAGCCCACCAGGAACCAGGCGCTTCTTCCAGGTCTCCCAAGTGTGTGCAGGGTCCTAAGGCTCTGGGTGGTGCTCAACTGCTTTCCCAGGCCACAAGAAGGGAGTTGGATGGGAAGCAGAGCCGTGAATTGGCACCCATATGGGATCCTGGTGTCTGCAAGGTGAGGACATTAGCTGCTAGGCTGCCATGCAGAGCCCAAAGATCAATTTTTTTGAAAATATTTTTTTAAAGACTTTTTATTTGAAAGAAAGAGTTACTGATAGAGAAGGAGAGGCAAAAAGAGAGTGAGGTAGGGAAGGAGGCAAGAAGGGAAGGAGGGCACGAGAGAGGCTGGGGAGAGAGCAGTTCCCCCTGCTGGTTTACTCCCCAGATGGCTTTAACAGCTACTGCTGGATCAATCTGAAGCCAGGAACTAGGAGCTTCATCTGGGTCTGCCATATAAGTGCAGGGTTCCAAGGCTTTGGGCTAGCTTCCACTGTCTTCCCAGGCCATTAGCAGGGAGCTAAATGGGAAATGGACCAACTGGAACTTGAACAAGCACCAACAGAAGGATATGGCACCACAGGTGGAAATTTAGCCTGGTACAACATGGTATCAGATCCTTAATATTTATTTGTTTGAAAGGCAGAGTTAGAGAGAAGGGGACAGAGAGAAAGAGGGAGAGAGATACTTCTTTATTTTTTTTAAAGATTCATTTATTTTTTAGAGATGTTTCATTTTTTTATTGAAAAGGCAGACTTACAGCGAGAAGGAAAGACACAGAGAAAGATCTTCCATCTATATGTTCACTCCCCAAGTGGCCACCATGGCCAGAGCTGAGCTGATCCAAAGGCCAGGAGCCCGGAGTTTCTTCCAGGTCTCCCATGTGGTTGCAGGATCCCAAGGCTTTGGGTCATCCTCTACTGCTTTCTCAGGCCATCAGCAGAGAGCTGGATATGAAATGGAGCAGCCAGGACATGAACTGGCACCTATATAGGAGCCTAGCACATGCAAGGTGAGGATTTAGCCACTAGGCTACTGTGTCAGACTCTTTTTTTCTTGATGATTTATTATTTTTATTGGTAAAGCAGATCAGCTTTATGGAAGAAGGAACCACAAAAATCTTCTGTCCGCTGGTTCACTCCACAAATAGCAATAATGGCCAAAGCTGAGCTGATTAGAAGCCAGGAGCCAGAAACTTTTTCCAGGTCTTACATGAGGGTACAGAGTCCCAAGGCTTTGGGCCATCCTCGAGTGCTTTCTCAGGCCCCAATTAGGGAGCTGGATGGGAAGTGGAGTGAACTGCCACTCATACAGGATACTGGCACGTTCAAGTTGAGCATTTTAGCCAGTGAGCCATTGCGCTAGGCCCAAGAGATCTCTTCTGTCTGCTGGTTTACTCCCCAAATGACTACCGTGGCTGAAGCTGGGCTGATCTGAAGCTATGGGCTAATGTGGTTTATCATAACAGCAGCCCCAAATGATTTTCTAAAAAATTATTTTATTTAAAATCTAGAGAAGAGCGGAGATCTCCCATCTGCTAATTTTTACCCAAAGATTCACATTGGTGAAGGTTGGGCCAGGCATAAACTGGGAGCTGGAAGACCATTTTATGAGTATCAGGGACCCAACCACTTGATTCATGAGCTTTTGCCTTCTCGGGTGCATATCAGCAGGAAGCTGGAATTTAGAGTGGAGTGAGGACTTTAATCCACTCTGATAATGGGCTGTAGGTGTTCCAAGCCATGTCTTAACTTCAAGGCCAAAGCCCACCCTTAAAGACCAACATTTTAACAGTGAAAAAGAAGAAAGTGAATATTGATCTCTGATGTATAAAATCAAATGGTGAAAGGTAATGAGTGAAGTCAATAAATAATTGGTCATCCTTTTGATTTTCATATCTACTCAGAAATAACCTTGCTATTGAATATTAGTTTTATATTTGTCTAGGCCCCTTTGCTGATAAAGAGGGTAGGATTTATACCTTTAGTTGTTTTGTGATGGGTTATATTCCAATCTATATAGGTGTGTAGGTGTTTAAAACATACCTACTGAGTGAATAATAAAAAGAACTTGTAGCCAGGAAATATTCTAGGATTGCTTACTGCCTCAAATGACGTGCTGGTAACTTAATCTTTCTGTGTCCAATTTCTTCAACTGTAATGTGCTTTAAGTGGTGTAATGGGAAGACATCGTCCGTAAGTTAAGGAATCCTGGATTCTGTGTAATTTTGCACTTGATCTTAGCCAAAAGGCCGAGAAGCGATGGGTTCTATGTAATTCTGGACA